GTTTGTAGCGGGACCCACATGCCAGAACACAGTGGCAGAAAATGGGTCCGCAGGCCCCAAGGCCTAGGTCACAGGCTGGGGGGGGGTGAGGGGTGTGAGGGGTCAGCTGCTGTGGGGTGTCCAGGTGCAGACCTGACGGGGAGGAAGGGGATTAAGGAACATACCACTTGTGCTAGTTTTATCACATTTCTCCGTTCAGAATGTTGACAGCATTTTAGAGGCCAAGACAGGCACAAGGAAAGGCCCTACAACCACAACATGCATACACAGCCGTTTTCTTATTTATGCCAGGAGGAATAATTTGCACAACTGCAGTTTTTTCTCCATAGGCTTAGGGGAAAAACAAATTCAAACTCCAAAAATGTGGAGTGTTGTTGGCAGAAATCACAGGTTCCAGTCGTCACCCTACAATCCTGAGACTTTGAAACAGGGTAAGTTTAGTGAGAGCAATTACAAGGGAGTCACATGGCCCCGTGTATCACTTTAGGGTTGATCGTGGTCATGCCTTCATGTTAGAAGTCAGCCCTGGGGTGCCCTGGACAGCAGCTCAAACAGCAAATTCTACATCAAAGTACAGATGACCCCTCCCCACACTCAGGAGAAATGGCAACCACACAGGGGAGAAACACCCAGTAGAGTTACGTGATGCACCGAACCGGTGCTCTGACCACAGCCGCCCCTGAATGCTGATGTCTTTTAGCAGCTATGCGGTCAGCATCAGTCCGTCAATGCATGAAATTCAGAGTGATTTAAGAATAGGTCTCTTCCTCTGACAAGGCTCAGCAAAGTACACTGAGGGTAAAAGAGCATCACGATTTTTAGATTACCTGAACAGAAGCCAGAGAGAATTCACCAGAGCCAGAGCAGAAAGCCGAACAGGCAGACCAACAAAGTACACTGCTGAGGGGAGCAGCAGGCATAGCAAGAGATGTCTGTGCAACATGTGAGACCCTCCCTTGTGGCCGGGGATCGAACCAGCGCTGCAGAGGCTGTGGGCAGCTTTGCAGCCCAGTGCTCAAGTGCCGCACCACCAGGGGAGGTCCTCAGCAAACTTCCAAGAAGCTTCACAGACTCAGGCTTCTCACTATCAGTTTGTCCCATCTGCTCCTCAGGAGCCCCCAGTCCTCCCCACACAGCCGGGCCTCAGGCCTGTGACTATCAACCTTTGAGGCTTTTTCGCCCTTGTATCCCCCACTGTGGGGGCAGGAGCCTGTCCTCCCCTCAGGCCCCTGTTTGTGCGTTATTGCCTGAGACTTGCTGGGGGAGCGTGGATGGGGAGAGGACTCTGAGAGAACCGAGAAATAAAGAAATGACAGAATAGGGTTGAAGAGCAGCAGGACCCAGGGGACGCCAGCCTTGATATCTGGCTCAATTGTCCTGCGTGCCCAGGGCCACTTGTGTTGATTGGGCCTCCATTCCCGGGGGGGTGCTAAAGCTGCAGGGGGGACACCTTCACTGGCTCCTGGGCAGCCACCCCAGCAGGCTGAGGGCACCATCCTCGTACCAAGCAGAAGAGGGAAGCAGTGTTGGGCTCAGGTCCTCGCTTGGCTCCCCCCTCCCATTATTGGGGGCTGTAGGGTAAATGGTTTTCAGGCTTTTCTGCCATCCCAGCATTAGGATTGCCCAGCCTAAAGGGTACCTGCAGTTGTTACATTGTTGTGTTGTTTACTTCTGTGGGCCATGGGAGGAGTAAAGAGATAGTCACCAAGGAAAGCAGAGGCAGGAAGAAGAAGCAGGAGAGAGGCAGAAGAGAAAAAGGGGAGAAAGAACACCAGAGAACCCAGCCAGAGTGAAGACTTGCCGGGGGCTTGGAGGCCTTGGCCTCCTGGCCCCTCCAGCACCCCTCCCTGTCGTGTCTCTGGTAGATGCACTACATGTAAATGCTCAATAAAAGCCTGAGTAACCCACTGAGGGCTCCAGGGCTCCCCTTTACCTGGTCTGCTCGGATCATAGAAAACCCGTTCTGTGCCCTTCCTTCCCCTATAGGGGAAAGGATGTCCTGAGCAAACTCCATATGGGCTTTGTGGACGCCAACCCCACTCCATCAAGTCACTGGGAACTACAAGTCCCATTATTGCCAAAGGGTGGTTTTAAGCGGCCATCTTCCCTATTTGTAAATAAAACCAGCCCTGTTAGATGGTCTTTAAGGACAGGGGAGCCCCTAAAAAAACATAAGTAAATAAATGCTCTTAAAGGGGAGTTTCATCCTGAAAAATACTGTTGGCACTACAGAGGCATCCCCTCCTCACCAGATCTAGAATACATCTCCAGGAACATTCTCTGGTAGGTGCAGCAATTAAGCCTGCTGTGTTAGACAAACAGTTAGAGAAAATGCTTTTTTTAAAGATTGATTTATTTTTATACAAGAGCTGGGGTGCAAGCCCGAGGCGTTGCAGGGTGAGATGATACACCAGAGACAGAGTGGGGAGAAGAACAGGCAGATGGACTGAAAATACTGCTGGGGGGAGCAGCAGGGAGATAGGAGAGGTCTATTTTGCCATGTGGGTAACTCCCTGGCCGGGTGGGAATTGAACTCACAATTCAGAGACTGTAGACAGCTTCACAGCATTGTGCTCAAACTTCCATGTCACTGTGGAGGCCCGAAAGGGCTATTTTTTTTAAGATTTATTTGTTTTTACAAGCACTAGGTACAGCAGAAGTGTGGGTTGGTGAGAGAATTCACCAGAGCCAGAGTGGTGAACAGAACAGGCAGACTGATGAAGGACACTGCTGAGGGGAGCAGCGGGCGCAGCAGGAGAGATCTGCGTACCCTGGGGGACACTCGCCAGAGGCCAGGGATGGAACTGGCGCAGCGGAGGCTGCTGGCAGCTTTGCAGGCCAGCGCTCAACCGCTGCACCACCGGGAGGCCCACGGAAATGGATGTTTTTAACTGCAGTCTCTTATAACTAGTAAACATGTTTGGAATGAGGGGCATTATAAAACTATTAAGTAATTCATGTTAAATATTAATGACAGAATCCTCACATGCTATGATACCTGAAAGTTTTCTTCTGTTTCGTTTTAGCCCAAGCTCCTTCCTTATGGAGGAGGAAGTCCAGCACCCACAGACCTGTTCTGAGGATGGACCAAACTCCTTCCCTCTCCCGGCCTCCAAGAGGGTTATATTTACCATCATTATAAAACCTCTGGTTCAGAACAAATTACAAAAATTAGGGGGGGTCCAAAAATATCTGGCCCTTGTGCTTATTTTTTTTGATTTCAGAGAAGTTACTGATACCTTTTGGACCACAGTGTCCACAACTACAATGTAGGAATAATATCTGTATAGCGTCATTAATGGAGATCATGGAACTAAAGCAATGAACATGTTGTGCAGGGTCAGGTAATCTCCATCAGATGCTCAATAAAGGCCGATTCCTTTCTCCTTTCTAGAGAAATTCAACTTCTCTCCCAAGCAAGCATAACAGAGGAAGTGGCAACACATTTAAAAGTAAAGTACAGCGTTTCCCCCCTACCCACCCCACCCCCTCCCCCCGGTGGTGGGCTAGGGGTTAAATCCCAGTGCTGTCACCATGACTGGCCTGAGTTCAATCCTCAGCCGGGAGTTGACCCACTAGGTGTAGCAGACCTCTCCTGTCTCATCCACTGCTCCCCTCAGCAGTGTATCTAAGAAGATCCTCCTGTTCTGCTCCTACTCTGTCTCTGGTGAATCCTCTCACCCTTCCACACATCTGGCCTGCACCCAAGTTTTTCTATGCAATTTTTTTTTAAAAAGCTTTAAAAAGGGCCTCCCCTAGTGGGACAGCAGTTGAGCGCTGGGCTGCAAAGCTGCCTGCAGCCTCTGCAGTGCCAGTTTGATCCCTGGCCTCTGGCGAGAGTCCCACATGGTGCAACAGACCTCTCATGCCACGCCCGCTGCTCCCCTCAGCAGTGTATTTCATCAGTCTGCCTGTTCTGTTTCCCGTTCTGGCTCTGGTGAATTCACTCACCCTCCCACGCTTTGGACTGTACCCCAGTGCTTGCATAATAAATATCTTTAAAAAACCTTTAAAAAAGACAGATAAAGGGGTTTTCTCCAAAATATCCAGTTACCATGAGTCACTGTGGGTTTACTCAATCCCTGAAATAGGAGAGCTATTTTTAGCCCCATCTATAGAGAAAAGATCTCAACAGCTTAGAAAAGAACCCTTCAGTGTCAAAAATGCTCCCCATTTAGAAAATTTCCTTCCCTGTTTGTGACAGCACCCAGCTGACCCTGCTGAAAGGTTTGTTGGTGTGTCCTTTAGTGATGCAGAGAGGGCCACTGCTTTCACTGCATGGAGTCGGTTAATAATAACCATTTTAGAAAACCAAACATTGTAGCAGCTTGTGGGAGGCTGTGTGGCTCCTGGTCACTCAAGAGTCAGGGAAGCCTGGATTCTCGTCAAGGGAGAGTGTAAAGTCGCCTCCTGAGGCAGTGTCCAGGGGTCCAAGGTCTCTCTGCCAGGCTCTGAATGACAACATCAGCTGCACAACAGGGAAGCAGCGCTGCAGCCCTCACATGGGGCCCAAGACCAGCAGGTGCAGCATCTCAGACCCCTTGTGAGAAATACAGAGCCCCAGGCACCAACAACCCTCTGGGTCAGAACTTGTGCCCCCAGGAGACTGGGACATGACTCTGCCCTCCTGCCTGCTGGAGCTGGGGTGGAGAGGCAGTGTCAGCCCCAGAGAAGATTACAACATGTAAACTTATAATTCCCCAACTTATATTCTAAGCACACAGAATTAAACACACAAATCAGCGGAGCACAGCGGAGAGCCAAGCAAACCCAAACCAGGGATGATCAGTGCAGCAGGGAGGCACTGGGAGCAAACACGGGGATGCACTTTCCGTCAGGGGCGCTGGCCACCCACGGGGTCACACTCAGGAACGACCTGACCCCCATGTTCCTCCAGGACCCAAAATGACCAGAGCAGAGCTCTGCACCCCCAGCCCGCCCCGTTCTAGTTCCCCTGACTGGCCCGCTCTGCATCAGCCACCGGCAGGACTTGTCCTCACCTCCCTCTTGCTCCGGGTGGCTCCTGAAGAAACTGGGCTCCCGCAGGCAAGAGCTTCACCCGAGTCCTGGGAAGCGAGTGCCAAGGCGAGCCCGGCAGCTGTGGAGGCAGGAGCGGGCACAGGGGCGCGGCTGCAGGAGAGGCGTGCGTAGGGGCTGCAGGTGGACGGGGGCTGCAGGGAGGGCAGGGAGGGGAGAGCTCCGGGTGCTCACGGGGCGCCCGCACCCCTCCTGTTCCGCCGAAGCTCAGAAAATCCAACTAAACAGGAGGCGAACACCCGAGTCTCCGACGACGCCGTTAACGTAGAATTTCCACGCGACTCCACAGCAAGTCGCGCCCCCGTGACTGAAAACACGCGAGGATTGTTCACCCGCGACCACACAGGCCCGAAACCCGCTGCTGCCACAGGGAGAGACGGGGCGTCCCGCCCCCCATTATTCCCTGCCTCTCCCCGCCCCGCCACCAGCCACCAGCCTGTGCGCTGCCCCGGGGCTGCTCCCTCCTTGGCCCAAGGGCCATCAGCCTGGGCTGGTGCTCTAGGCCCCGCATCTCCGCCACTTCCGCTCCGCGTCAGCGCGCAGGGACGTGATGTCAACACGCAGGGGGCGGGGCGAGGCTGAGGAAGGACAGCCTCACAGGGTAGCAGGGCGCGGGTACAAGGCGCTCGCTGCCTGGTGGCTGGGGGGTGGGAATGGAGGGGGATGAGGGTGGGGGTGTAGGGTGGGGGGTTGGGTGGGGGGTGAGGGTGGGGGTGGGGGGTTAGGGTGGGAGTGGGTGTGGGGGCCGCCCAGGCAGGACAATTGTTGGGTACAGCCCCAGGCCAGTCAGGGCCTGCAGCGGGGATGGAGCCGGGGCCGAGGGGCGGGTCAGACCAGCCAAGGGGAGACTCAGCCGCGGAGAGTCTTGGATAGGGGAGGACCTCGCAGAGGGGGGCAGGAAGAGGGATTGTGTGACTTCAGAGCCTTACAAGATGGGCAGACAGAATGACATGGGGCAAGAACCCGCTGAAATAGGGGTTCTCGCTCATTCAGAAAAATTTTATATCGCCTTCTGTGGGGAACTTAGACTTCAGCTATTAGAATTTGGAATATATATATGATGTGCATTAAAAGAAATAGTAATGCAGTGTTTGAGAAATGACCTAAGGAAATGCTGTGAACACAAATAAAAATGTATATCCGTAAAGATGCTAACCAGCACTTTCTTGTACTAACAAATCCAGGAAACAATCTCCATCAGAACTCCAGGAAACAGTCAAATATGTGACAGTAAATGTAGCAATTAGGTACCATCATTCTGAATAGTTATCAATGACTTGCAAAACACTTATGTTACAACATTAAGTGAAAGAGAAATGATATAAAATTGCAAATACAGTTTTATTCCAGCATGGAAATAATATACTTTACATGTAGAACAGAAGGGAGAAGTTACTTTGCAGTGAAATATAAAGTCTCTAGCAAAATCCAATATGTGGGTCACATTGCCTGCTGTTGTTGAGTGAAAGAGTCAAGATATAAAATGAACATATTATGAATGATTTAAATTTTAGATATCAGACAAAATTGAAATCATGTGTTAATCATGTGTGTCACATGATTAATCACACCTAAGTGATACACATAGGTGTTGAATTGTCATGAAAGGCAGAGGTTATACTTGTAATGACAGCCACATATTTGTGCTTACTCGGCGGAGAAGATTATGATAGTGTGGCCTGTGTTTCTTCACCCAGTTAATGGAGTCATTTGGTCATTCTGAAATTTTATGTTTATACTATCCAGGAACCTTGCACACAGGTGTTTCTACAGTGAGTCTTCCCTTAACCCAGGAAGGCCAGCTCACCTCTTCTAATTACTCTCGTTTACCTCAACTTTCCCAGTGACTTTCGGCGATCAGTGACATCCTGTTTAATGTGCTTTTTACCCAGTTTGCACACAACAGATACAGCACCAGAGCAAACCTAGAAAATGCGTCCCCTTCTTCACTGATATCAACCACCTGCCCCAGTTCCATGGAAATCTTGTGATCACCCCATAGGAATAGAGGATATTACCACATGTGACACAGACACCCACAAATAGGGATGCCCCAGAAACACTGAAAGTGACGGATGCCTGTTACTACCTTACTGTAATCAGGTTATGTTCAAGTGTGTGATGATTATAGATCCTTTCAGGTGATTTCTTTTTCCCTTAAAACACTCTAAAATATGATTTAACAAAGAGAGAGCTAGCTGGATTTTGGAGTTTATTTTTTATAAAAATTATATTTATCCTTTGTGCTAAACTATAATTTATAATCTTTTTAAGATTTATTTTATTTATTTGTGCTACAAGAACTGGGATGTAGGCCAGTGTTACAGGGAGTGAGAAAAATTCAGCAGAGACAGAGTGGGGAGCAAAACAGGCAGATCCACTGAAATACGCTGCTGAAGGCAGCATTGGGAAGACAGGAGAGAAATGCTGAGCCATGTGGGTCAGGTCACTGGACAGGGTCAAACTCGTCCTGCAGTGGCTGTGGATAGCTTTATAGTGCTGAGACTTAACACCTGCATCACCAGGGGGGCCCTATAGTTTGCAATCTTCATAAATTTGAAGATACATTAATGGCTCTTTTCTTTTTCTGAATTACAGAAAGGAATAAACAAGGATATATGTGGGGAATAATTGTTTATACACACAGGGTTGATTGATTCCAATATCCATTGCAGAGCCACTGTCTCCTATCAAAAGGCAAAGAACTTACTTTTTTATTTTTTTAATTCTTATTTATTTGTGCATGCAAGTACTGGGGTACAGGCCAGAGGTGCTGGGCTGAGAGGATTCAGCAGAGAGAGCAGGGAGCAGAATAGGCGACTGAAATTCACTGCTGAGGGGAGCAGTGGCGGAGAGGAGAGGTCTTCTCCGCCATGTGGGTCAACTCCCTGGCAGGGGATTGAACCCTGATGTAGTAGCTACGGATTACATCACAGTGCTGATGCTTAACCCTTGCACCACCAGGGAGGCCCGAGCCTACATTTTTAAATTGACTGGGAAACCAAAAAGTAATTTTTTTCCAGATCTAGCCTGATGGTTTTGTCACACCACCCAAGGTGTCAGTCCTCAGCCTGTTCAGTGGTAAGTGGGGAATTCCTGATGTTGCTGGGAGCCTCCACATGGGCACGGGAACTAGGGCGAGGGTCACATGGGCCACATTGGGACACGGCACACAGCAGGGATTGATCTGAACAGAGGGACACGCACCCGAGCTGGGATGTCTGCCAGTCGATGGTACGGTAAGGTGCAAATCTACTCAGGAGAAAACATAGTTTATTTGCATCGAAGGCACTTGTTTTCCCAAGTTCTGTGATTGACTGTCTGGTTCTTCACTTAGCGCTTAGTGAGCAGTGTCCCAGCTACACTTCCTCATTCGTTTTCACAATCCTGGGGCTCCAGGCGATCCTGCTTGCTGTCTACTGTGTACCCCAACCCTGCTGCACAGAGCAGAGGCTCCCCCACAGGAAATCTAAAGCTACTCTCACCTGATTGCTGCCCCTCCAACCCGAATCCGGTTCCGATGGCCCGCGGGGTGTCCCAGGGAGTGCTCCACAGTGAAGGTCATTCACTCTGACTTCTCAGGCCATGGCCTGTCCAGAATGGGGGGAGGGGCTGTATTTCATGAAGAGCGGATAGAGTTTACACACAGACGTGTATTGCTATTTCTAAAAGGTCAGTGAAAACGCGGACGGGAATGAAAGACCACACGTGACACTGTGGATGGACCTGGAGATGCGGACACTGTCCACGCACAGGGCAGCGCCTGCAGAGAGGCGGACAGGGCAGCGACAGGTCTCTCCTGGCGCCCCCCAGACGAGCACCCGGATCTTTTACCTCTGACAAGTCTGCCTCCTGCACTCTAGCGGAGACAGAATATTCCTGGGATGACACGGCATGGCCCAGGCGTCAGGACTGGTCGCGCCCGCGCCCGCTGCTCGCGGACTCTTGGCCCCCTGCAGCGGCCCCCGGTGCGGTACGGCCAGAGACCCCCACGCCAGACCAAGCTCGGGGTGGGGCCCGCTGTGTCCGCGACAGTCGAGGCGTCCAGGGGGCCCGGGGTGGGGATGTGGGGTCCCCGGGTTCTCTGAGCAGCGACCGCAGAGGCTGAGGCACCTGCCCGCGCTACCCCAGCCGGCCCCGCCCCGCCCCGCCCCCTCCGTCGCCGCCAGGG